TGGGTCCAGCTGACCCCAAACCTTCTCCAGGCACCACGTGCAACTCAAGCTCAAGAGGCCCAGACTGACCGGTTGTCTTCCTGCCAAATCTGGCCCCAGCTGTGGACCCCTAACCGCACTCACTAAACAGAGGCGACCTCCTCTTCCTCTCTCACCCTCGCCCTCCAATGCGCCTTCGGTCACCATGCACCACTGATAGGATTTCCTAAAAGTCCGTCCCTGGAACCCGGTCACCGAGGGCAACGGCAGCAGGGACGGCGAGGATTTCCGTTAGTGTTGCCATGGAAACAGGCTGGAGGGCGCAGTCCTGGGCTCCGGAGCACGTCTCGGCAGATGCTCCCTGTGCTGAGAGCCGGCGTCTCATCAGACCGCAGACGCACCGGGTCCACTACGGACTGTATGGATGACCAGAGGTCCCACTCGAGGCCGACAGGTGCTCCGCCTCTGGACCGACACGGCACGCCGTCAGGTGTGATGAGCTGGGGAGTCGGTCCACAACCCCCTTTCTGCTGTTTATTTGCTTTTTTATGTGTTTATTTTGACAGACAGAGATGAAGGGAGGGCCATCCCCAACAGATTTTGTGCCACGATCCTCCCCCAGCTACAGTGGCCCCAGATCACAGGCTGGGGTCCCCCATGTGTGTACAGGGAGGCCCTGGGACACGAACCTGGAGCCTCCACAGATCCGGACAGCATCCCAGAATGTTGCAGTCCCACTGTGCCACTGGCTGGTCTCGCCTTCATTTTAAATGGCTGTTTATCCGAGCAACATTCATGTAAGACGTGTGTGTGTGTGTGTGTGTGTGTGTGTGTGTGTCTGTAATCACAGTTTCATTTTCTTCAATGAGCAGGCGTCAGAAGGGATGCCATGACTCCCGGATGTAGCACCCATCTACGGGTGCCCTGACCATTGGGCGTGAACACAGCCATGTTGCTCAGACAGGGCACGCTCCACGCCTCCATGTCTGGTGACCCTTGAGCGACTGGGACGGTAGTACACGTTACACGTGGAGACTGCTGATCCTGCAGCCTTACCGCGCTGGTGGCCCGAGCCCCTCTGCTCTTGGCCTTCTTAAGCATCGAGGTTGCAGGTGACCATGAGATCAAGGACTCTGGGTTCTCACGGGACAGGAGCGTGTCCTGGGTTGCATGGTGTGTGGAGCTGGCATAGTTAGATTTGCTGAACGGAACATGACTGAGAATGACTGCTCTGAATCTGAGTAGATAGGGCAAAAAACAAACGCTTACACAGAAGGGAGAGCCTTTCTTTGTTCTAAAATACAGAAGGACCAGTTCTGTGCTGAACCCAGCGCTCCTGTATGCTGGCACGGGGAGACGCAATTGCCCTGGTTATACATGTACCTTTGTATTGAGGTTTGACAATGGGCTTTCTTGCCTCAAAGGCACATCACGTGGCTCTGGGATGCCACGCATCTGAAGGACGCTCAGGTCCAAGGAGCTGTGCTATTTTTAGACGGCAAGTCCGTCCATTTCCGAGACCGGGTCTGCTTCTGGTCACTACCCAGAACTTGTTAGATTACTGCTCTTAGACAAGTCACGGCGGTGCCAACAGCACACGTCACAGAAGCGAAAACAGTGCTCTCATAGAGCTGCTTCTCTGAATTACTATGAGAATCAGCAGAGGTACTTGGACGGCCCTCTCTGCATGGAACTGCAGACTGCAGTCCGTCCCCAGGGACGTCATCAAAGCCTGAGTCGCCAGAAAGCAGCTACGATGCAGCTTTTCAAAACTCAGTCAAGCACAGAGCTGAGGGAGGGGACACGAGGGCCAGCCTGTGACAGGGAAGCAGCCACCGTTTATGCCTACTTCCGGAACAAAGAGCCCCCCGCGGCAGCCCCACCTTATACCTGGTTTCACTTTTTACCGTCTCAGTTACGCACAGTCAATGGTGGTCTCAAACATGAAATGGAAAATTCCAGAAATAAACAACTGATGGGCTGGCCCCATGACACAACTACTCAGTGCTGTGCAGGGGATCCATGTGGCTACTGGTGCCCAAGTCCAGGCCTTGGTGCAGAAACATGCCAGGGGTGTCCACGTGCCCAGGACCCTGACAGAGTGAAGAACAGGAGGAGGATTGCGGCGTGACCGGGCCCCTCTGGGGACTCTCCCCCTTGGTTACGTGCACAGCATAAAAGAACTGGTGTTTAAACACTACTGCGCAAGGCCTACGCCCGGCTCCCCCTCGGACCTTGTATCCTGTCGTCCCGTCATCACAAGGACAGGAAGGCTGAGGACAGCGTGGTAAGACATTTTGAAAGAAAAAGACCACACCCACATGGTTTTTATTATAGCGTACTGGTGAAGTTGTTTCATTTTACTATCGGTTCTCGCTTCTGATCTCTGACTGTACCCAACGCGCACACTAAACTTTCTCAGCAGTACGCCTGTGTAGGAGACAGATCTAGGAGACACAGCATGACGTATTTTTCTGTTTGCTACACAGAAATGCATCAAGACTTTCCCGAAGACCCAAAAGTAGGATATGGGGCCTGGTCCCATCTGCGGCCGGAGGGGTAGAACTAGAGATCTTGGAACACATCCCTTGCAGACAAATGAGGGTTACTGCACTTTAATTTTGCACTGGGGCCCACGACTTCTGAAGGTGGCCCCACTTTAAGTAGTACACCGTCCTTTGTGTCTGACCCACGGAATTCATGTCTTTTTTTCCAGCAGCCGTGAAACTTGTCAATTACAAGTACGTAAACTCTTAGACTTCCCACCATTCTTCAAACACGTCTGCTTTCTTCTCCTGTCTAGCCAGTCCACCTTTTCTGCTGCTGCTTCCAGGTCTTTCTTTTGCTTTCCGCATTAGAGAGCCCAGGACCGCTCCTTCTGCACCGCCATGCACCCCCCCGCTCAACCGAACCCCACCCTTCCTCTATCTGCACTCACCCCCTTAACCACTGCCTCTAGCTCCACAACTTCACATTACATCTGTAAGCTTAGGGTTTCTAAACTCCATCCCCAGCCGAATTTTCCAGTGAAACTCCAGGATCAACTCAACACACCCAGACTGAACGGTGGAGCCCACCCTCACAGCAGCACCTGCCGTCCTCACAGCCCGGCCGACAGCATCCACCTTGCGGCTTCTCAGGCTGAAAATCCCTGGAATCAGCCCTCGCTCACCGCTCTGTCCTGCTCTTCATCGATCCCTCCGGGGACTGCTCGTTCGCACTGAAGGCAAAGTGTCCACAGCAAACGTCCACATGCCCTGCCCCTTTCTCATCCGTCATGCTCTTGCTAGTGACCAAACCTGACGTCCCTCCTGCACTCCGGTATCCCGACGGGCCGGCAGCACGCTCTCCTCCCCGGCCCTGTTGTCAGCAGGGTGACTTATTGGTGACAGAAGTCAGACTGGCGCTCTGTTCAGAACCACACGACGACTCCCTGTTTCCCAGCAAGCAATGCCCCAGCCTCCACACTGCCCACCTGCATCCGGCCTGGTGCATCAGCCGTCCGTCCGGTGGCACTCTCTCCTAACACCTGCTGGCTGACTTCCTCACCTGAGCTCATCTTTGCCCAGATGTATCTTATCCACGAGCCTCGGCTACGGACGGCGACCTCCACCCTCTGCACTCCCACCCCTGATCGAGGTGGCAGTCACTCACTGCCTGCACCTGCACTCAGCACGTCCCACCCCACCTCCTCCCCCTGGAAGGCCAGCAGTGCGAGCTCAGGACCGTCTGTCTCGGGCTCACAGGTGCATTCCGAGCACCCAGGACAGCGCCCTGCACCCTGGGAGCCGCGTACAAACCTGCTGCACAGGTGAGGAGGAGCTCGGGGAGCCGAGCTGCGGCACAGCCCTTCAGAAGGGACCCGTATGGCTTCCCCAGGGCTCCAGACCGGCTTACACCGCCACGTCACGGCAGCGGGGGGGCTCCGCAGTGGGGGCCGACCCCACCC